GATGTTGGGCCAGTCACAGCCTTTTCAACCGTATAAAGTGGATGCTGTTTGAGTTCACTGTAGGAAAGGAAGATCAAGGTGGAAGGCCGTGTTCGTCTACCTACAGCAGTAGAAAACAGCAAGCGTAGTCACTGTCTGAAGAAGTGAGCAGTGACTCACAAAAGCTCATACCCTGCCAAAAATTTTGTTAGTCTTTGGCCCCGGTCACACGGGAGGTTTTGGGCCGGAAGAGGGACGGATCGGGGGCGCAACAAACGGGCGCGATCTCACCGCAACATCTGGTAATCAGCGCGCACCCGTCCCCAATCCGTCCCTTTAGACCTAAAATGCGCACTAAAAATAAACCTAGTAAAAGGTAGAACCAACCTGACACGCCGCATCAAGCACGGCCGTCAGATCGCCGGCGCGCCCGTCTGCAGGAGCAATTGAGGCTCCCAGCCGAACTGCGCATGCGCACACATGCGTAGCCGGCTGCCTCACGCTCCTGTCCGTGGCTCCCCCCCCCCTGGCATCTGATCGTGCTGGGGAGCAACTACGCGGCGGCTCAGGGGATCTGTGTGATCCCGCCACCGCGTGTATCTTTTGGTGCGGCTTTCAAAAGCCGCACTTTGCCCGCAGCAATTTCCCCCCGTGTGGCAGGGGCCTTTAAAGTGCTTCTGGACTCTTGCTGTTTTCTACTGGAGGAAAGGTTGGATAAGTAGGGTACTTAAAGTTTATAAAACTTCCATGAAATACAGAAATTAAATTATAACTTCTCGCAACCAGTGAACCATATGAATGTTGATTTGTTTAAAAAATGTTTTAGTGCAGTGCATTCTAGAACATATGCTAAGTTTGTGAGGCACACCGGCAAGGCTTTACCGTTGCCCCATACAAACTGAGACAGTCTCTAGAACAGAGGGGAAGAAACTACAAGGGCACATCTGGCCCTGAAGCTAAACATTTTGTCAGGAGTATCAGCCCACAAAGAGCAACAGAGATGGAGAGTACGGCAATATAAGTGCTTTCCTGAAGGCAGAAAGTTGAGGTGCAAGTCAGCTAAATAAACAAGTTTTTTTATACAGTCCCTTATCCTTTTACCTTTCCATACCTTTATACACCCAACAAAAGACATACAAAGGAGCAAAAAGACCAGACAAGAGAACCAGAAGGAAAAAATGAGTAGGGAAGGGGGGACACACACAACAATGCTCCTCTGTATGGCCTCCTTCATTTCACCGTCCAACTGTTGAAGAATTTACTTCTCCTGTTATGCCGAAACTGAACTCAATGTATTTTCTAGAAGATACACTTCAGGTGATATGTGTCTGGATTCATAAATATTTCAACTTGTGCCTCAGTAAAAAAAAAAAAGACCAAATGCGCTTCTGCCCAACCCTTCTATAGGGATATCACATCTGGATGACCACTGGATCAGTTTAAGGTTCATTTCTGAACAATGGTTCCCTGACATTATTAGCACTTTTTCCATCTTCATACAAAGAAAATTTTGTTCTCACTGACAAGTTATTCATCTGCTTGGAAAAACATAATTATAGAAAGAAAAAATTTATTGGAAAATAAATTTAACAGATGCCAATGCAGAATCAGCTTATTTTCAAAGAATATCAGTGACAACGCAGGGCTTCTGAGGCCGTTCACTGCACCTGTGAAGAATCTCCACTGGAAATAAGGAGGCCACCTTCACCACAATTGCAAACAAGCAGCACCAGCCTACAGGGCGACTGTCAGAGAAAGACACTTTCCAGTTCCAAATGTGCCAGACTGGCAGTATTTTGAAGCCTCAGACATTTCCTTTTTTGCACATTTGGAACTGGAAAGTTGAAAAATACGAAACTTGAATAATGTTATATATGGACAATTATTTAAACCAAGTGAATAAGGGGCCATTATGCTGTTTGTCTCTGCCGGCACAAGCCCACAAACAGAAAGGACTCCGGGTAGTTCCAGCTCCTGCGGACTTGTGAAGCAAGTGCTCACAAAGCCAGTGCACACAGCTTGTGCATATTTCTTCCTGGATCCTGTTTCAGATGCTTGCATTTACACCAAATGAACAAAGATCATTCAGCCTACTGCCCTTCCAAATACAGATAGATGTTTTAATGACGTTATCCTTAGTAAGACCTCTAAAAGATACAGAAAGCAGAATTAAGTTATGATTCTGGAAACGATGCAGGAATTGTTTACTTCAACAGTAGAGATTTAACCATATGCTTAACTCTTCCAAATTTTCAATGAAACTTGTGAGCACTTAACTGCTGGCTGAACCACATTCTTTGTTTTGACACTGTGATCCTATACACATTGTCTGGAGAAGTAGAAAAGAGCCAGAGTCCAGGAGCACCTTAAAGGCTAACAAAATTTGTGGCAGGGGAGGAACTTTTGTCCCTGTTCACTTCTTCAGATACCTGAGTCACTGCTCATTTTTTCAGGTATCTGAAAAAGTGAGCAGTGACTCACAAAAGCTCGTACCCCGTCACAAATTTTGTTAGCCTTTAAGGTGCTCCTGGACTCTGGCTCTTTTCTACTGCTACAGATTAATACAGTTACCTATCTTGACATTATTTGAAAGTCCTACCAAAATCATGTATTGTATTTAGATTGAAGATATTAACATATTGGCATCCATTGAACAAAAATATCTGCTCTAAACAGAGTAAACCTAATGATGACAGACTATAATTTTTTTAAGCAAAGCAATTTTTTTTAAAGTCTATAATGGCTGATCATACTATATGCCAGACATGGTTGCTTAAAGTAGCCAGAACTTGAATACTTCCATATTTCTAACGGCTGCGCTTCCTGCAAAAGTCATCAGTTTTTTTTGCAGATAGGATCGGCGGGTTGGTTCTCTTCACCAACCACGCTTTTGACTCTCCCCCATCGGGTAGCAGAGTTACAGCTTCCTCTGCTTGTGCCTAGGGTGAGTTTTACAGTACACATACAAACGCCCACGTCTGCGGACAATGAAGCAGTCCTTGCAGCGCTTTTTGAGGACCGTTTTGCATTTCATTCCAGCAACAGGCTGCAGGCTGGTCAGCGCGCCTCTTGTGAGAAATGGCAACAGATCCGCGGTGCACAGCTTGGGAGTAGGATGGGCTTGCAATGGAGTGACAGTCTGCAAACGCCCCGGCAGCCAGGAGAAGAACGAGCGAAAGGCTACAGCACAGTTCAGAAAACGAGCTGAACTCCTGACAACATTCTGCAGCAGCAGAGAGGCCATTGCCTGCACATTCAGAAGAGAAAGAGAGAAACAACATCAGTAACAGCTGCTGGTTAAGTCTGCAATCTTATACACACAATTCTCCACATGCTTATCTAGGAGTGAGCACCAGTAGAGTTTACTTCATCCAAATTAAGTACCACTACTTGTGTTAGTGTTCATTCAACCATCATCTTGAAAATCAAACACAACTAAAACACTAATGGGGCTTTAGAGGCCTGTCAGTGCTATCACTGCCACTGAATAGTATGTCACCTGCAAAGTCATTTGTTGTTCGGTGCAATTTAGCAGTCGTCAAGCACTGGAAAGAATGTTGTTTCTGTGGAGACCGATCAAAGGAAATATCAGTTCCAACTGGCAACCCTGTCCTTCCTTTTAGCATATCTAAAAAAGCCATTTGAGTCCGACTCTAGGGCTGCGGTGCTCATCTCCGTTTCCAAGCCGAAGAGCCAGCACTGTCCGAAGCCGTTTCCGTGGTCATGTGGCCATCATGACTAAACACCAAGGCGCACGGAATGCTGTTCCCACCGAAGTGGTACCTATTTATCTACTTGCAATGTCTTGCTTTCGAACTGCTAGGTTGGCAGGAGCTGGAACCAGAGACGGGAGCTCACTCCATCATGCGGCACACCCGGGTCTCGAACTGCTGAACTACCGACCTTCCGCAGCCTGCAGTTCAGCGTCTTAACCACTTGAGCCACCACAACTCCTGGGCCACCTTTAATGCCACACAAAATCCACATCCTGAGCACTTGACTAGTTTCACGTTGCCTTGCAGCAGGGCTTGTCGTTACGTATCAGGACAGGGCAGTGAGAGAGATGGGTGACTAGCTCATAAACACAGGATCTTGGATCCTGCTTTGCAAATGGGTCCTATCCTCCACATCTTCCTTGCTTGGAGGATGAAACTAAGTACATATGCTTTGCCGTGTTGGTTTATCCTGCAAATAATGGACTGCTGAGTGAAATGTGCCGCTCAAAAGAGGTCCCATTCCCAAGAAGTGCTGGAGATCAACATGGTGGAGCCCTGCCTGAAGCAATGGAACAACTCTGAACTGACAGTCAAAAGGCCCACTCTCAGCCGTTTACTGGGAACGGCATCTCTACCTGCTCTTCCCTTCCCACCGAAGCAGTACCTATTGATCTACTTGCAATGTCTTGCTTTCGAACTGCTAGGTTGGCAGGAGCTGGAACTAGAGACGGGAGCTCACGCCGTCATGCGGCACCCGGGTCTCGAACTGCTGAACTACCAACCTTCCACAGCCTGCAGTTCAGCATCTTCACCACTTGAGCCACCGCAGCTCAAGTATACCTGGTTGCCTTTCCTATTCTTTTTGATAATAGTTGTTATTCAAACAGGCTGTGTGCTTTATGGCGTTTGTATCCTTCATTCATTCCAAAAGTAATGCAACCTTAACGGGGAAATTAACAGGCGCCGGACCAGGTAGGAGGGAGGGAGCCAGGAAACTTGCAGCGCCGCGCGCGGAGAGCCAGGCGCTGCGCACGCGCACGGAGCGACCAACCTCCCGACCGTGCCTCGTCCACGGGAGCGCATGCGCGGGCTCCCTTAAAACGGACGGCAATCCGAGAGCGCCGACGGCGTCATTTCGCGCCCCCGCAGCGATCCCGGAACCCCTTTACCGACCTCCCTTTCGCGGGAACAGCGACAAAGGTAAAGCGGGAGGCCCCAACGAGCGCGCTCCTACTCCTCCGCCGCGCGCTGACGTCTCGCGGCCGTGGCGCTTGTGGGCGGTGCCTACGAGGGGGCCGCCCACTTCCCCCCCGTCTTCCGTCGCAGGGCCGCGCACGCGCAGTTGGGTTGCGGAACGACCGGGAGCCCCCCCCAAAGATGGCGGCGGTGGCTGCCCTGCCCTTGAGGAGCGCGCTGAGAGCGGCGCGTCTGGTGGCCAGCCGGAGCTTCGGGGCGGCGGCGGCGGCGGCGGCGGGGGGCACCGGAGAGCCTGTGACTCACACGGGGGGATCGGA